ATGCTGCCAGGACTGATACCAATTTATTTGTCATTATGAAGTTAAGTATTTACATTGTACATTGCGGATGTTTATCAAATAAGAGAATCTTCCTAAACGATTTAGGCAAAAACAGCATGGATCATTCCCTTCTTCTATTCTCCACAACGCGCTTTGTATTGAGAAAGCTTTTGACACACATAATCTAAAACACGAGTTCTACTGTCAAAACAGTTCTCTACATCTAACTCCATTGTTTATTGATTGCTTGAATCTTTCGAATAATGTTTAAGATTTCAATTGATCAGTCACTTATTGACATATATGCATTTTTTGCGGATGGCCTCGATGTTGCCTTAAGTCACAAGTATTACAAGCAGAGAGGGATGGTGGCTAGCAGTGGAATCCATAACGTGCGTTTTTTCCTATTTGGAACTCGTAAGTCAGATGTACCTGCATCTCCGTATCGTTTGCTTCAAACACCATCGCGTTATCAGTTTAATTACTGAGTCTAGATAGCCAACAGTACAAAAGTGAACTAGAATTTCACATTATTGCACAAGGTAGTGGCTTTTAGGTATATAAATAAACTATACAGATTATAAAAATATAATATAATTAAGTTGTTCCGAAATTTGTTAACTGCTAGTAATTTAGATCCAATATACATCACGTTCAACGGTTTTTATTCATAAATGTATATTCATAGAGGAAATTCCCATGATTTTAGGAATCTTAAAACCTCCATTTGTACACATTAATTTATCGATGAACTGAATTAAAAGCAAAAAGTTAATTAAAGGAAATGTCAGATGAAAAGAAATATAACGATAAAATCGAACAAAGTTATATACAACTGTAAATTCACTGTATTACAGAAATAAATAAAACTCCAAATTGAAAGTTGAAACTCTAGGTCATCACCAAACCTGTTCAACGAACGATATTTTTGTATTAAACTATTTTAAATACAGCCAAAATATATTATCCCAAGTTTTATGTGAATAATCCAATTATTTACTTAATTTTCATAATCGCATAATATGTTGCAGTTTATTACGATCTTAATAACGAGCTAGATGAGAAATTTATATCTGTATAATTGAATTTTTGTTTTTATCCCTAAGGGGATACTTCTGACATACTTAATAATCAAATGAATGAAAGATATTTGAAAATTTAGGTTAGTTAATGAGTTCATAACTGATCAGTACCAATTGATATGATATGTATAAATTATTGAAATCGAGTTTAACATTCAGTAATCTTGAGGCTGTATTCATATTCAGTTTGAATGATGCATATACATATATATGTAATTTGGATCGGAAAACTATGTTGTTCATCTATGCCAAACCGGTTTGTATGCTATTCTGTAAATACCATTCGTTAATTAGAATTTCTATCATTAAGTATGCATATTAATGTTATTTAAACATTTCCATAGAACCTTTTGAATAAGTCATTATTAGCTACAATGGAAAGGAAATTAATTAAATTGGGAAAATGAATGCCTTTATTGTTTAAGACGTATTTTTGCTAAACACGTAATTTTCGCATTTTCAATGAACACATCTAGTATGTATTGTGAAATGAAAATAATGCTCTCTTAAAATACATAGGTATGTCACAGAGCTATATAGTTAAATGAGTAGAACGTAGGGATGAAATACAATAACTGACTAAACCAAAATCAAATCAATCAACCTTATATTAAAGAGAAATGTATGTAGACTTATGACAGTATCTATTTCATGCTTATTATAACCTTTACTTAGATATTTGAAAATAATTAAAGACGTCTACATAATAGAACTATTGTATTTATAGAAGATTGTTTATGCATAACAAATTAGTTAAACGTGTATTACCATGACTAAACTTCAAGTTTTTATTTCAATTTCAATATACGGAATTCATGAGATTTCAGACATTCAATCACAAAATAGATTTATATAAAGAACGAATAAAGAGTTTTAACTTTTCAAAATGGGTTCTAAAGTATAAAATATACAAGTTCATGGAATTATAATTAATGAATAGATGAATATTATTTATTGCTTTAACAATGAACTCGCTATGTTTACCAATGAAACAATTTAATTATATAATCTTTTTTAATATTAAGAAAGTTGCTTAAAACTTTAATTATTAAAAGAGTTATTCAATTCTGTGAACATTGTTTAATACAGTCTTAATTTTGTTTGACATAGTTTTTCTTTTTACAAAATAAATTATATATCAGAGGGGTTTTGTGGACATTATAGTCATTTCAATAGTTGAGATCATGAGTCAATTGAAGCTAGATCACTATGAAAAACCTTGGAACACTGGACGGCCGTTTCGTTCTATTGTTCTATTGTTCCGCAGAAATGCACATCCATGACCCCATCTCGTGAGATTCGAACCCAGGACCTATCATTCTCGTGCGCGAGCGCCTATCCACTAGACCACTAAGCTGGCATCTAACGGTGTTAATGTTTAACTTCAATCAATCCATGAAATTGAGCGACATATCCACCGATGTCTTTAGTGAGTTACTTTTCACAACAGACCCAGTTGAACTCCACTGGTCACTGCTTCTCACTAGAACTCGAGGAAATACCTCTTGGAGCCAATCACAAATGTGCATATGTTGATTTATATCAGCATTAACACCGTTGGATGTCGGCTCAGTGGTCTAGTGATTAAGCGCTAGCGCACGAGATTGGGTCCGAATCCCACAAGGCTGGGTTGTGTATGAGCACTTCCGAGGAGTCCCACAATAGGACGAAACGGCCGTCCAGTGCTTCCAAGTTTCCCATGGTGACCTAGCTTCAATTGACTCATGATCTCAACCATTTAAATTATGTAGTTAAAAATTTTTTAAATCTTTTAAAAAAATTGTCAATATGACAAAATAAAAAAAACAAAAACTCTTACTATGTTCACTTTCCGTTTTTTTTTGTGATTGTAAAATTTTTTTCCCTAAGTAATAAAATCTTACAATTATTTTTTGTCAATTTTATACATACCTCTAATGTATAGGCTGATTATGAAGTAAAGAAAAAATCAGAGAAAATTCAATAAAATGTTTTCCCCTTCGATATTGATAATAAAAAATAAACAAACAAACTTATAGAAATAAATTACAAAAGTTTTTTTCAATTTAGGTGTAAAATTGGATAACACTTGGATAGTAGAGGAATAATTGCTCATTCACCAACTATTGGTATGAAAATTAAAGAAAAAAAAGAAAAAGAAAACAGGATCGTAATTTAATTGTAATTAAAATTTAAAAAAAAAATAAATTTTGGCGATTGGCCATTTAAATATATTAGTTTAAAAGTGGACATAAAATGAATAAGTGGTAAATGTTTAAGTGGTAATAAAAAGTGCGGATTCGTATAACTGACTGAAAGCTTTAACTGTACCATAGATAGTATGGTTACATAGATTATTGAAAACCTTTAAAACAGCAATTACATTACCGAACCATCAAATAGTTGATATGTACAAGGATTATCCCATTGTATGCAAAATCTTTTTCTGTTCAAATATTAAAATCTTTTAACACTACAGTTTCATATGCCTATAGCTGAAATACTGAACTGATAAATGAACTATTTTACCCAAAACAAACACTAGAAAAGTATATGAAATAATTAACAAACTTTTAGTCCTGGAGAGAGCAAAACCTTTTAGTCTGTTGAGATGATGTATACTGAAATGTTTGACAGTCAGACGATTATTTAAATCACTGACTGAATATAACTAAACAAACGTAGAAAAAACATTTACTTGAATGAGACACCGTAAAGGAATCGAACACAGGGACTCATAGAGATCACATTACTATTATACCGTAATCACATCAGTTTATTGGTAAAAATCTAAGGAAATTCTAAAATTTCGAATAAATGACCATTAATATTGACAGTATTTAACCGCTTCATAAGTGAGACAAAGATCATTGTGGACAACGGACAAGGAACTGAGAATATTACGAATTATAAGTCAGTCTGTAAGGTACGACTATATAGTATATCGATTTAAACTGACGAAAAATATTTATTTCCTGTTATTGTAAAAACTTTACAGTACACTCCATCTATACAACTACAAGTCCGGCAGCTGAATTCAAAAGTGATTTGAGGTTTCGAAAAATGGAGTACTACCGACTGACAATAAATTTCGATCTTTATAGTTATAGTGTTTTTAAAGAGCATGTTCATAGGAAACATCTCCTTTTAAAGCGGCTGATAATAGAATTAAAGCTGTTAAGTCAAATCGTTAAGTAAATTCATTTTTTGCGGTATATCAGCAATTCACATAATTTATTTTTTTGTGTCGGATTTCATTACTGTATTCACTGTGAATCTTTGTTTATTCCAAATACATCAATATAGCTTAATAACCTAAGTAAGCAATTCATTAGTAGCCATTGCTGATTGGTCACCACCCAACGATCAATCGTTGTATATATCTCAATCCTATGGGATATTGTTCGCTGTCCCAAACGTTTAGTGTTGAAGCTAAATGACGAAGGTTGAGCTATGATCACATTCTTCAGGTTTACTGACATATCCCGACAACCAGTGATAACAAACGCAAAACCTAGGTTTAGTGCTTTCTGTTGACCATTTCCAATATTTAAAATGTTGGTGATCCACATACACCGCAAGGAAAAATGAATAACTACTTGTTTATCGGGTTTCTTTAGACAAAACTTTACTAAATCAGCGAAATCTTCATAGATTGTTCATAAAACTTGCACCATATTATCTGTGTTATCGGATGTATTTGTTTACTTTAGGTCCTCGATTCATACATATACTCAACCTAATGTCGTCACACTAAATTATTTGATGATCACAAAACCAAAGCTCGATAATAACAATTTAATGAACAAATATACATAAATCATTTTCGTTAACTGTAAATATTTGGTTCTAGTAAGGAGTTGTCAATGAAAAATAAGAAAACATATTGCAACAAAAGTATTTACAATCGCAAACATTTTTTTCCTTTTCATAAAATAGGTAGTTCGAGTGTAACCATGTTTCATTCATCTGGAAGATAACAGATAAAACAGAAAATATGTCAACTTCTTTGATGGTTTTGCTTAAATTTCACACTACTGAGATATATCACATTCTTTTAGTGCCAAACAGGTGAGTCAATTATACCTTTGATATCATTAAGACATATGAAGTCTTGGAAATAAATAATTCACAAAATTCCCACATTTAAACGATAGGTACTCTATTCTTTTCGGACTGTATATATGCATTTATATCCACAATAGTCAGTAACTGAAATCGGGAGAAAAAAATCATGTGAATCCTATTTTATATATGGTTTGTTTATTGAGAATAGGCCAAACTTTCAAGTTAGTTAAGTCTTACTTCACTTTAGCAAAACGGTTAGTCGATTAAATCTTATTCAAATGGTGTTTTTAAAGATAAAAAATCAAAGTTTTGATATGAACCGATGTCAAGATTTACAGTACTTTTTAGAATACAAATAAGTAACTGTTAATAAGAATATTGTATTTTTTAGGTGAACAAAAATCTCAATTAGAAACATAATACCGTTATAGTTCGGCAACATCAGAGGTAAGACGTTTGTCTCCCGTAATTATGAATTAACTGCACTTAGCTATGAACAACATCGGATAAAACCCATTGTTTTACATAGAAACGTGATCTTTGTAATATAAAGAGGTCCTTAGTTTTGCCTCTGGTAAGGGCATTTGTGAACTTTTGTGAAATTTCAGTTCGGAAACAGATGTCCAGAGTTTTATAGTTTTCAGCAGTTGTTTGAATGAAGTCAATACATGATGTGATCAGTCTTCAAACAGTTAAATAAATGTTTTATTGAAAATACCTGTTGCTTTTTAAGTAGTTAACTTTCTTTAATCAAACAACCACTTTTACTTTGGTATATTTAAAACATTTTAATACTTGAAAATGCTTGTTACATGATTTATTTGGCTTTGTAAACCTTTTAAAAAACTCATTTGCATGATGTATGGTAATGTGCCGACCGTAAATCACGTACCGACCAATCATAATTTATAAAATGTGGCTTCTTGAGAGTTTTACTGACTGCATTTGGGATGTTCGACCGATTGAATCACAGTTGCGTTCTAAAGTTTATTCTACTGCTGAAATATGTGAAGCCTACCGGTCCGGTTGCTATCGGGGAAATTTGTGTTCAGTGTTGGGTACTGAAATGCTAGAACAAAATAGTTTTCTAATAATCCTTGGCTTTTATTGTCAGGCTAACTGATAGCAATCGCATCGTTTCAGATTTCTTCACATTATTTTAACTGACGAATTCATCATAATTACACAGAGCGTGTGATGAACGTAAATGTGAGTAAAAGGTGAAGGGTATGTGGATAAAAAGTAATAGATTAAAATCATAGTTTGAATGCGAAATGAAGCTGGAGAAATGTTTTACCATTGCTTCGTCATGCTTGTTATAATTTCTCTTATTACGACCCAGCTATTCCTATTGATTAGTAGTCTTGGACACCAATTCACTCGACAAGTCCCCAAACCAGAACACAGTTGAACAGGAACGAAATTATATTACAAATAACATGGGTAGATGGAAGTAAGAAAAACGTTAGTGTATTTATAGTTTTAACATGGGAAGATTCTAGAGCATCCACTAGCATCGATTGGATAAGAAATAGCCAATCAGCGTGCAACAACACAATCCTGCACCGAACATGCTTTAATCCATTATATATTCCAATAGTCGAGATCATGAGTCATTTAAAGCTAGACCACCATGGAAAACCTGGAAGCACTGGACGACCATTTCTTCCTATTGTGGTACTCCTCAGCAGTGCGCATCAACGATACTATTATTACCGGATGGGTTTAGACAGATAAATGTGTAATTGGGAAATTTTTGAAGCGAGAGAGAAGGGGCAGGGGTGACTAGAGTAAAAGTGGGATAAGCATACAGTTTTACACTAGGGTGAGAGTATCTTGTAATGGGTTATAGCTGACGAAATAGCTGACTTTAACACATCTGGACTTAGATATCGTCTATTACCTAGACAATCAATAATCTTAAATCTCGTGGGGTTTGTTAAATATTTAAGCTCTAATCTTCATATTTATTACTAATAAAATCAATGGGTCTGGAGCAACTTACGGATCTTCAATCTTATTTCTAGTCATGTAGGTTCATTTGCGAAAATAACGGTAAAGATGTTCAAAAATTTAGTTTATTAAATGAAAAATTTCAAAAACATACCCTAGGGCTTATTTTATTGTGAAGCGATGTTTATTCAGTAATGAATCGTTGAATATATGAATAGATACTGGTTAGTTGCATTTTTTGTGTGATAGTTGAAAATATATGATGATGATGATGGGGGGGGGTAGTATTCATTTGGAGGAATCTATTATTTAGTCATTATTTCTTCCCTAAACAATTTGACGTATGAATATTCCATTACAAAATGAAAATATTGAAAGTAGTTGTTTGTCCAATGAAATATTTTTATTTACAAGTTTATATCAAAAGAATTAAGTTAAATAAATGTTCATAAGTTCCTTTAGGGATCTTTTTCTTTTAAAACAGAGATTGATTCTTTAACCTTAATCAAAAGAACAGTATTTCAGTAATTTATCTAAAAATGTGTCACAATTATTCTGTTCCAAATGTTAATATTTAACTTCAGATAAACAAAAAAGTCCGAATCGTTCATATACATATCTAACAAATATTTTGATAATAAAAGGTATTAAAAATGATTATATATTCCCTCCTTGTGTTATTCGTCCTTGAATTAGTTAGGTCACGAATAATAATCATAATTCATTCATTCCATTCACATTAATATTTTTTTATTTTGTATAATAACAAGGAATATTTGAGAAATTAAAAAAAATATTGTTTCCATTTGAGGTTTGATGATTATATTTCTCTCGATATGAATATAACTACTGCCCTTTCAAGTATATTCAGTTAATTGCTTATTGGTTCACAAATTGACTGTAGATCAACAATAGACAATTCAAATGTTACATAAAGTTGTACATATGCCAACATGAGACTGATTAGTTGCAGTCCCAAATAACAATATGAAGATACAAGTAAAACAACACCAAGTGAATCTAAGCTTTTTTTTATTTAAATGTTTGTTATAAATTGTTGCCGATAATTAATTAAAAGTTATATGGAGTAACATCAGTATTGTTCAAACTGTAAATTATGACTTTAGAAGAAAAGGATAATCTGTCAACCTATTTTATTACTGTTCAGAAATAATAAATAAATAAAGGTGATAAAACACTATTTTTAGCATTTTCTTTAATATATAGCTTGAAATTTAAACACTAGATTTAGTTTGTACCATGCGGTAGAAAAACATTCCTTCTTAGTGTGGGACTCTACAGGGATGCGCACATGTACAGTTACCAAAGATAAAATCCAGAATATTTACTCCTTGTGATGGTAGCTTAGCCTTCGAATTGATGAGTTGATGTCAAATGCATCATGAATCTAATTTTAATCTTACGTTATGAATTGTTATATACATATATATAGTTTTGTTTTCATAGACTGATTATTCCTGTCTGTAAAACATTGATCAAGGCCACTATAAATAATCGAATCAATAACTTTAATTTATATTGATTAGTTATTAACAAAATGTAAAAACAAACCAATGGAGTAGAAAAGATCTGTTTTTTCTGAAAATTCTCTTAATAATAGATAATAATGGTAATAATGATTGATTGAATTTTTATTGTATATTTAGATCAAGCAAGCGATTACCGGTTTGAATTACGAAACAAGAACAGTGACAAATTTAATCCAACATTTAATAACCAATGACCTTGGAACAGTGGGTACCTTTTGTAATCAGTTCAATAGCGTTTGAATACGGTTTATTTCATAAGGCATTTACACCTATATATATGGCGTAAACTAACTCATATGGGTATCAAGATTCATACGTACATTCTTATGCATTTGTGATATTTCATGGTAAAATAAAATTTCTTAAAGTGGTTCTATTAATTAAAAATCCTTTCGAAACTATGTCTAATCAGGTTTGATAATTTTTATTGCAACTATTTACGACAGTTGTATAACTTAGAACCATATATGAGAACTTTCGTCTAAATTTGAACGAATAGTTTCACAATATTTGGGTGCCGAGTTAATGTGAGACATTAAAGAGGAAAAAATGTATTTGTAAAATGGGCTAATTCAAACAGATTAATAGGAGAGGTGGAATACAACTAGCTGTCACATGGCAACTAATAATTAATAAGTAAACCTGAACTCCTTATTCCATTCTATCTATCTATATCATATTAACTAATCAATAAATAATAAATTCAACGGTTCAAATCAGTTATCGTATCTGAATATGTTAAACAATTGACGGGAACATTAAAATAACACAGACTTTCAATTACAAATACATTCCTCTTTGAATTCAGTCTTTTATCTTGTTTATTTGTCTTCATTTAATGCATGCTGTGACATTTTGATTCATTTCATATATATAAAATGATATGTTTTCTTAATATACACATACCGAAGATAATATATAGTTGAATGAGATTTCTTTTCGCATCACTTACGTAGACACACAATCTCTTATCTTAACACTTTTCGTTTTCACAACACATGTCTCTTACAAACTTATATAAATACCTACTTCAAACAGGGTTCACGTTGATTGGTTGTCTTATTCAGTATACAGTTAACCAGAGAACCATGTACCCCTATTTATATTCGATAATTTTGTTGTTTGATTATATTTTCCTTGAAAAAGCTTGGACCAGATTGCTAGACGAAACGTTGGATTTACTTCAAATTCATTCGCTGAGATTTTACAAATACATTTTTTCGTCTTTAGAACTATATAGTTAGTGACTTTGACTTTTCTTCAGGGATTCACATCAGGTTTTATTGACTTTGTATCTGTTATGTTTTTAAATAAATATTTCTTCAAAAGGCGGAACGAGAAATAATGGACGACCTTTGAGCGACACTAGAGTGACTTCGATAATGTGCACGTACTTACCAGGGTTATAAATTAGTGTACAGAATTACGATTAAAATTTACAGTTGAATATTAGGGTTAGGAATTTTGCTTATACTTTTGACCACAAGCTGACATCAGCTA